TATATATATATATATATATATATATATATATATATATATATATCGTTTATATGATAAAAGTATATTTAGATTTTTGAAATGGATGTCGAATAAAGTATATTGCACTTCACAGAGTAAGGAGCGTTAGTCGATAATGCACTTTCCTTCCGCGCGTGTGAACTATTCGTGACGTACATTAATCGAAACACGTTTGATCGTGACGAAGATTTAAAGTGACACGCGACGTTACAATCGAATTCCCCGGCGCTAACGAAAAAATTGCATTGTATCGGATCGATTCGAAGTGAAATTCGCGCTACTTCCTGCATTTACGATAGCCTCGGAGGAAGCTGCGGTATAACTGCACAGGAAAGAGCGCACATCCCGTTCGTCGAATTGTGTCGTTTAACATCAATTACAAACGCAAGTCGATATGAAAGACCACGCACGCATATTCGAGATTGCTTCTCTCTCACTCCCTTTCTTTCTCTTTCTTTCCTTCGTCCTCTCTCTCTCTCTCTCTCTCTCTCTCTCTCTCTCTCTCTCTCTCTCTCTCTCTCTCTCTCTCTCTCTCTCTCTCTCTCTCTCTCTCTCTCTCTCTCTCTCTCTCTCTCTCTCTCTCTCTCTCTCTCTCTCTCTCTCTCTCTCTCTCTCTCTCTCTCTCTCTCTCTCTCTCTCTCTCTCTCTCTCTCTCGTTGTCAAATATAATTAACTGTAAAACTTAAACTCTTACCAGTGTGCGCGAGATACTCGAGTTAGTTACAAAGTTAGAGAAGCGAAGTCTACGGTAAAAGTTTCGTAAAAGAACTTCTCGAAGCGCATACGTGATTAATCGCCTTGTTAATTCTCTTTTTTTTTTTTCTTTAATACATATATCCTATTACGCTCGTTACCAGTAACGTGCGATTATACCTATCTTAGGCCTCGATATCATTCATACTGATGTTGGGAAATATTTTACAGAAAAGAACGTTGACCGAAAACACACTAGTTGTTTTACTAGCATTTCCAGATCAACTATAATATACTGCTTGGGAATTGAGATATGTACTATAGCATCTTACGAAATGAAAGAACAAGTAGGTAAAAAATCTCTCAAAAAATTTTCCCTTTGCGTACTCCCCTCCCACTCCCTTTCTCACTTCCTCTCTCGCTAGCTTCATTAAATATTAGGGATATTCAACTCGCGACATATTATTCAACTCCCGTTAGTTACAATTCGGATTTAGAATCCGTCTGTCTGATTCATCTCTTCGAATTCTCTTCAACCTCCGAAGAAATAAATGATGAAACAAACACAGGCGTCTTTAAGAACATAAAGGAATATTAATGTTTTTATCGTATGGGAAGAATAATTAAGAGTATCCTCGGAATAATTCGCCAAGGAGCGAAATAAGCATTTCACAGCGGGAGGAACCACATTGAAATCAATATCCCTAATTTAGCTGGCTCATTTAAGAACATCCCGTCAATGAATATATGCATGTATTACTTCGTCAATGTACAACTCTTCCCCTGTGTTTCTCTCTTCAATGGAGGTCTATGCGTTATTATAGTATGTATTCTCGTGACGTAGCTGTCGTTCGCACTCGCCAAGAAGCAACCCGCACCGATACGTATGTAATGATCACTGTGAGAAGAGCTTTACTCGTACAAGCATACTCAAGACAAAAACCAAGGAAGTAGGTAGTACAAAAATCACTTTGGCCTTTGGAAAAATACCTCACAGATAAACGATGGCCCGCCCGACTTAAATGCCGTTTACTTCTTATAGCTTACTTTAGTTTTACATCCTTCATAAGGATCCCACAAAATCAACAGACCGCTACATTGACGTGCATGCGTCACGTATAATATATGTATATATGTACACTTGTGTATATATAGCCGAATATGTGTGTGTATGTGTGTGTATTTATATATGAATGATTGTAACTAACCACAAGTGAAGATTTCCTTGCGAACGTCCGATAAATGTCTAAAGAGATAAAAGCTACACATGCTTTCGTTTTCTTCTCCTCCCCCTTCCCCTTTTCTCAATAGGAAATTTCTCTTCCTTTGTCTTACATGTAAGAATGTTTACGCATTCCACACCGAGCAAACATCTGCAACACGATCAGAGTGAAATTGAAAGAATTGATTGTTCATAGTTAAGCTTATTTTCAATATCTTAAATACTTCCTTTATGCAATGTGCATATCAGACTTGTCGGCCAATACATTTATATGTTCCCACCGGAAGGGTAAAAGGAAAATGCCCCAAAGTTACCCGGCTGAAAGTTCCCCGGGGTTTTCGGCGAGACGCAAGTGTAAAGAAAGTCGTCGGATTGCAGCTGCGTGCGATTCAGATTCGGTTCGGATTCCGATCTCTTGATCTTCGGCAGACCGAGCAAAATGGCCTCCAATATAGTAACGATCTGACGGAATATTGGCCGTTCGTCTCGCGAGAAGTTGATGCAGTGCTCCGTGAGCCTCTTGAGCGCTTCCGGCGTGTCGGAACGCACTTTGTTCAAGTCGGGACGCAGATAGCCGCGGCCTACCATAAACAATATCTGATCTTTGTTGTTTATGTTCGAGTATGGTAGCTGACCCGTCAGCAACTCGAACAGCACCACGCCGAAGGCGTAGACGTCGGACTGGAAGCTGTACGGATTTTCCTCCTGCATTCTTATGACTTCGGGCGCCATCCAGAGGATAGAGCCGGTCGGCTGATGGAACTGTTGCGAGCCGGACCACCTGGTCTTGGCTGTGGCCAGACCAAAATCGCCGATCTTAACCGTGGAATCGTCGTGCAGGAATATATTGTTGCTCTTGAGATCCCGGTGAATGATATTCTTCGCGTGCAGGTAGTCCATGCCTTGCGCCGTCTGCCTAGGGATTTCCAGCACCGTTATCAGCTCGAACTTGGACTCGAACACGTGCAAGTGTTTGTACAGAGACGAGCCCTCGCACCATTGCGTAACGATCGAGAGCTGCGGCTTGCTGACGCAACCCATGAACAGCAGGATATTCACATGCCGAGTCTTGCGTAAGACGGCCACCTCGTTCTTAAATGCCTGCAACTGAGCGGTTGTGGGAATTTTGACGTTGAGCGTCTTCACCGCGACGGGGCCGTGCCAGTGGGCCTTGTACACGGTCCCGAATGATCCGGATCCGATGCGCGAGCCTATCAAAATCTCTTCCGCCGGGATCTCCCAATCCTCGATCGACTCCCTCGGCGCCAAGAGGTTCTTGGACGATTCATCGGCCGACCTCGCTCTCGGTCGCTTCGGCCTCAAAGTGTTGGTAGGACTGGCCTGCGTGGACTGGCTGTGCTTGGTTGGACTGCTGCCAGGCGACACAGGGCTCTGTGTAATGCCCGCGACAGGTCTGCCTAAACTCTGAGATCTACTGTATTCGTCTAGATTCACCAGCTCACCGCACGGCTTCACCATGTTGAAGCAGACATTGGGCGCGGAGCTGGAACGATCGTGTTGGCCCAAGGAACGCGGATGCCTCTGATTCCTCGACGGTGCCAGGGAAGGGGACATACTTCTGCTCAGGCCGTAGCCAGATGGCAGCTGCAAGATCCCAGCGGTGGTCTCTGGATTGTGAGCGAGCAGGGCTTGATAGTAAGCGTCCTGCAGGCGTACCTGATGACACAGGGGAGGCACGCCACCCGCACATCTCTGATGAAATCTGTAATTACAGGTTCTGCAATAGAAGCCTTGAAAGAGCAGTTTCCTGCAGTACTCGCAGAAGGCCAGGGAGAAGAAAGTCTTGCGCACAAAGTTGTGCGATATGGAAGTGGTTATAGGAAACTTATCCAAGATCTCCACTGAGATCTCGTCGCAGTCTAACAATGAGATGTCTGCGTCCCAAGATGTCAGGTGCTTGGAGTTGTCTATACCCAGAATGTAAACCGCACACATCTCAGTAGTCAAATTACGCAGCTTCATGGCCTTAGCCAAGGCATCTCTCAGGGCGAGTCCCTCTCTTACTTGTACACTGGTGCGTTGCTGATTGGGCAAGTACGCTCTCAGCGTGCTGAAGGACTTGACAGGTGTCCTGGGCTCTCTGGCCACGCTGTTGTCGCTCTCCGACGTGGAGACGCTGGTCGGGATCTTGCTGGCGTTCAGCAGCTCATTGAGCTTCTGCTCCTTGCACTCGAGATCGTGTAACTTACTTGTCAGTTCGTGATACTCGTTGAGATATATCGACGGCGGATGCTGGAAGTCAGCGAAGCGATTGTTGAGCGCGTCGATGTTGAGCCGCGTGACGTGTATGACGCTCTGGATGTTGCGCAGTTCGTACCTCAGCGGGTCCGTGTCGAGGTAACCGTCTTCGGGATCGCTAAACTCGCCGAACTCTGGGCCGATTCCGCGCGAGGATGTCATAGTGGTGGTGCTTCCTTTCTTTCTGTGCCGACGGCGGCGAGTCGACGCCGAGGACGCTGAGGACGAGGATGAAGGCGAAGACGGCGACGGCGACGACGAGGACGTGCCCGTCTCGTTATTGCTCACGGCTCTGTGACACGAGAACTCCGTGTACGCATTCGCACGGATCGCCGCGTGATATTTGCGTTCGCCGATCACGGCCATCTTCTCGCTACGTCGGGCAGCATCCTGGCCCGCCACTTCAAAACACCTCGGTAGCCCGTACGCCGCGCTACCCGTGTGCTTCGAGGACGGTGAACGGTAAGTACACTCGCACGAGAGAGAGAGCGCGCGCGCTACTTTGGTCTCTCACTGCTACTGTCGCTCTCTCTCTCTCTCCCTCGCTCCCTATATCTCTGTCTCGCTCGTTCCTCAGCACACCGCAGTTGTCTTGCCGCGCGACCGAGCACGCAGCGTCGTCGCACGTCGCCACCCTCCTCTGCCGCGCGTTGTTTCTGCCCGTTGCCGCTCGCGCGTGTCGAATCGTCGCGATGACGCGCGAATACACGGAATGCCGCGATATCGCTAGGTCGCCGCGCACTTGTCACAACGTCCGCTTGCAATCTCCTCCGCGATTGCCACCCGCGCCGCACGATCACTGCTCTCTCTCTCTCTCTCTCTCTCTCTCTCTCTCTCTCTTTCTTTCTTTCTCACAGTGTCCTTTCTCGCACGCGATGCGCCGATCGTCCGCCCTTGACGTCGCGCACCTGATATCTCTTTCTCTCTTTCTCGCTCTCTCTTTCTCGCTCTACGTACGACACAATGCGGCCTCGAACCGTCCCGCCGCAAAACTGGCACGAGCGAGGTGGCGCGCGGGGGTTACAAGCCGCGGCGCGCCAGTGCTGCCAGCGTCTACACTGCGACGTTTCCTCTCCGGCTCCTCTGTGATCCTGTCGAGAGCGTCGGTAGACTCAGCCATCGCCGCCGCTGTCGCGAGAACGGAAGAACGCGAGACGAAAATTTCCAAAGCACTCGGTGCGCATATTCAGCGCAAATACAACACGCTCGCGCGAGTGTTCGCGACTTATGATAAAGTTTCATTCGTACGTGAAGACCGTGTGAAAAGTACACATAGTAGAGAACACGCGTTAAAGATGCATGCTGCGTGATCAATTGACGAATCCGTTCTCGCGCGAGATTTCGACGTGCATTTCGACGACGCGTTTAAATTTAGGTCCCGTTACGCCGCACGGTTCAATGTGTCAGCCGCGCGCGCGCGATCGAAAGACGCGCTGTCGTCCGTCCGTCTGTTCATTCGGTCGTTTGTTCGCCCGCCCGCCCGCTCGCCTGCCTGCCTGCCTGCCCGTTCGTCCGCTTCGTAACGACCGCACCGCGCCGCATCGCATCGCATCTCGCGGGCCGATAATTCAAGTTCAATTTTTCCGTAAACACGGCCACTTGCGTTGCGCGTTCTCTGACGTCACTGCGGGCACGCTTTGACGTCAGCGGCATATGGCACACCGTCGCCAAGGCGACAGAAAGTCGATTCCCATTGGCCAAGCGCGCTTACGTATGTACGCAAGTTGTCGCGAGACCGGCTGGAAAATGCTCCAACACCTAGGAAAATCGCATTTCCGAGCTGTTGGAAGAGAAATTTCAACGGCTCGCTCGATAACGAGTGTCATTTTTTTCTGCCTTGTCTCGTATTGACGATCGATATTGATCATCGACGACGCGATCGTTTGATCACTGATATGTTCTCCTGTGTGACGCGATTCCACCAGCCCCGATCATCCTCGTAACGAGTAGTCGCATCGATGAGGTAATAAATGAAGGATGTTTCACGAAAACTGCGGTAGTTCTCGCGTGACTGTCGATTAGCCAACAAGCCCCATCATTTTTCGTCTACAAAAATACAACGTGAATACACAAAGTACCTCGATATTCACGACAATCAAATTCAGAAACTTGTAAAAATGTAGACATCTACAGAACATTGAATCAATAATAATAAAAGTGACAAAAACAATAATAAGTTAAACATCTTAGTATATGTTTATAAAAAGTGAACGGTTCCCAAATAGCACAGGGAATTCAAAAAGAATTCAGTCGTATGCCACCAATTCTGAATTCATTGTCAGATGCAAAAAGAATTCTTCAGAGTTCAGTTCAGTGAAAAGAATCCTTTTTGCATCTAAAAATAACTCAGAATTGGTGACATACGACTAAATTCTTTTTGATTTCTCTGTACTATCTGGGTTTTTACATAAATTTTCTTTAATTAACTCATTTACTTAGAACTCGTTTAACGTTAATAACATTATGTTACTGATAATTGTTTTCTCTTTCGTATGCGATAACTGTTATCTAAAATGATTATTTACGTTCTCAAATATCATTGGTCTATTTACCTTCTACTTATATTTTTCAATCTTAAGGCTATCGGCTTAAGATAACTTTTTACGAAATCTATGTTACATACTATATACTTTCACTACATATATAAGTAGTCTGCCTCGTGGTAATACGCATTAGCGGTTAAACTATGTCAAAGTTGCTAGCTGGAAAATTGGCGCTAGTCACCGGTTTGTTCAGTTTTACGTGATTATTATTATTATTTTTACTTTTACAACTAGTAATGTGTATAAGTGTGTGTGTGTGTATATATGTATGTCATGTGTGTGTATGTGTGTATATATGTACACACACATTATATATACACATATATATATACTAGTATTCGAAAATATCGATACCAGAGGCATACCGATACGTATCAATAGTCGTATCGACACTTTCAAACACTAATATGTACATACATATATATATATATGTGTGTGTGTGTGTGTGGATTCACTTAATTTTGAATTAAAAACTCGCCGTGTTTTTCCCCAGTTAACAATTCCAATTAAATCATTTTAACATATTTAATCATCATAGAACGTGATGACTTGATCATCCAGACATAAATGATCTTGATATCGCTTAGCAAAAATATATTCGAATGTCGCATTAACGTCATGTTGTTATATATTGTAATATCGTTTTTTCGATCATATTACAGGTGCCGGAAGCGGTATCGGAATGGCGGTATGTCGTGTTTTAGCTCGAGAAGGCGCCAAAGTTGTCGCAACTGATCAGAATGTCAAGAATGTTCGGGAAACCGTAAATACTTTAGAAGGTCTTCATCTCTATTGACGTCTCTTAACCTAAATTAAAACTGATATATGCAACTTAGTCTTACTCGAGACAATATCAATTTCGACCTCTGTGCAACTCGCACGTGATTGGCTAACGAAAAATTTTCAACAGCTGTAGCAATGTTTGCTACAGCTTTCTAACACTGTAATTTGAAATTTTCATCTCTATGCGAAGCCAGGAAATTCTGCATAAAAAAGCTCTGTTTTATATATATATGTGTGTGTATATAACTTTATAACTATCTTTTATATTATTCTCTCATTCTTACAGTGGTATGTTTATTATTACAGGTACAGGTCATGTTGCTCTGCATATGCAAGTCGCTGAGCGAGCAAGTGTTGAAACAACTTTTAAAGATGTCAAAAAGCAATTCTCCAAGCCACCTACCATCATTGTGAATTCTGCAGGGATTATAACACGTGGACACATAATAAACTTCACTGACAAGGATTTTGATGAAATAATCAATGTTAATTTGAAGGGTATTTTCTTGGTTATGCAAGCTGCTGTCAAAGCAATGATAGAAGCAGATACAACAAAGGGTTCTTCAATTGTCAATATCAGTTCAATTGTAGCCAAGCAGACATTTCCTATGCTTGGCATCTATAGTGCAACAAAAGCTGGAGTAATATCTATAACCAAAACTGCTTCTAAAGAATTTGGAAAGTATGTCTTCATATACAAATATTAAAGCATTTACTTAAAATATTTCTTCTCTTATTCATACAATTTAAATTGTCTGTTCTTTACAGGTTAGGGATTCGAGTCAACACTGTACTGCCTGGTTATATAGAAACTCCTATGGTCTTATCTTTATCAGATGAGGAAAAACAGGGATTCTTAAAACAAATAGCACTTAGGAGATCAGGACAACCACAAGAAGTGGCAGAGTTAATTGCATTTTTAGTTTCTGACAATAGTTCCTATGTCAATGGAGCAGATATTGATATTACTGGAGGGAAATGAGATTGACCTGATAAATTTACATTACATCTTACATGTAAATTTATACATGTGAAATTACTATAAATATATAATCCCTGCATATTGTACACTTCTAAAAAGAAGAAAGTTTTGTGATACAATGATAATAAATTACTTTTTTTTCCCTTTAAGCTTCTTCGCGTGTTTGTGTGCTTTGTAGTGAGACTTCTTCTTTTCTTCAATAATCTCTTTATATTTGCGCTTATTATATTTTGTAAATTCTGCATCAGTCATGAGCTCGTCGACAATTGTTTTCTTGCGCTCCTTCTTTGTGAGACGTGCAGAGTAATAATCCACTGGAGAATCCATAATTTTGCCAATGTGGAAATGTTTTGGCAATCCTATCCTGTCATTCTTCTTGTAAAAATGTTTTGGATCCAATGCTGATCTCATTTGCAACACTTCAAGATCATGTTTAATCTCTGGTGTTATATAAGGTGCACGCATGTTAAACCATTCCGCACCTGTTCCAGCTTTTCGCTTCTCATGTCGTTTATGAGCTTTCAGTTGGCGTTTGCTTAATTCATAAGGAGGTACAAACCGTAATTTCTCAAAACCAGGTGTAATAATACTTTTTTTCATTATCTCATCCAATGGATTAATTTCTTTCTTTATGAGATTTAAATCTTCTGCTGGTTCAATCATTTTTGAAGGCCTCCAACCCATGTAGGCCTCAAACTCCTTGAGATCAAAATCTTCAATGGAAAGAAACTTTGTTTTCTTAGGTTCCTCTGTTTTAATGCCGAGATAATCTGCATCGTATATCCTTTTTGAGTCAATATCTAATAATAAAGAATATTAACAAATATTTTTATAATTGTTTTATTTATAATACAACTAGAGTCAATTATTCAGCAAACATTATTAGCCATACTACTCAACGTGGTTCTTTTTCTACATTATATAAATAAAATGACGAACTAGAGAGATATGTGGCTTGTGATTATATATTTATATATATATATATATATATATATATATATATATATATATA